TTAATTAGGATAATTAATTTGTTCTACTTGTTTTCAAAATTCCACAAAAAACTACCAGAAATTAGGATGTAAACATAAGCCCTGATGTTATAGTTTGGAAATGGTTTGTCACCCAAAGCTCCATGTGCAGTGAATGTTCTCCAGTATAACAGTATTGGTGGATCTCTAAAAGGTGGGTCCTAGTGGGAGGTCATCAGGTCACAGGGGCAATATTTTTCAAAGAGATAAAAGCCCTATCAGAGGGGTGGGTCAAATCTCCTGGAACTGCATTAGTTTCCTCAAGAATGGTTGTTTAAACAGCAAGGTCAGCTTTCTCCACTTTCTCTCTTGCTTGGCTATCTTGCACATTTGGTTTCTCTACCATGTTGTGATGCAGGTAAGGTCTCAACAGGCACAAGTGCCATGTTTTGGGAACTTTCCAGCAATCAGAATCATCAAGGCAAATTCTCTCTTTATAAAGTATCTAGTCTCCTTCATTTTAATATAGCAACACAAAACAGTAAGACACCTGGGGATAAGGATTGTTGTTACATTGTTCATTCATGTATCCCAGGATCCTAGAATAGGGCTTGGTATATATTCACAGTCAATAAAATGTGTTAAACTTAAAAATCCAAAAGGAAAATGTTTGTTTAGAGAGAAATAAATTCATTTTGTTTTGGAATTTCACAATGAAAACACTTTTTAAAAGGTTGGTAGGAAGTATGCAAGCCAAACTTTTTAAATAAAGAATTTATTAGTCATGTTTTAGTAGAATAAGTGATTTTGATACTGACAACGTGTCAAAAATATGCAACATACATTACTTGAAAAATAAATTTTGGTACTCAAATTTCATTGATACATGTAAAACTGTAGAAGTTTAAGACCCACCTTATTTTTAATAATGTTAATTCAAAATATAAAAATGAGAAAATACAAACTTATCTTAAGTCTCTCATGAGGAAATAAAACAAAATATTGGAAAAGTCACAGGAAACTTATGTTTTATCCATAAATACTGGAATGTTATTCTATTTGGTACTGATTATACATATATTCCATATATATATATAATAATAATTTTTATGTATTCCATATATATATATATATATATATATATATATATACACACACACACACACACATATGTGTATATATATGTGTATATATATATATACATATACACACACATACATACATATATGTATTCACTTCGCGAAATAAAAGGTAAAACTTGGCTGGGACATGTGTCCTCTTTTTTGAGAATTTTTTACAATTCAGACTATTTAATATAAACATTGATTTTCCCAGACTGAATTTCAGTTTTAAATGTGTCACAGATGCTTCAGTCACTCAAGGGTGCAAAAGAAAGTGAAAATTTGTCATTGGAAACAGAAGAAAACTCAGATGGTTACTGAGCTAATTCTCTATATACCATAAACACTTCCTGGTTTGAAAATTTGGTTCAAGAAAGTGAAAATAGACTTGATTTGCTGAGGAAATAGACTGAGAAGATTTCTATGAGCTGGCTTAGATTTCAGCAGCAGCCTACATGAAATCTATACAGAGAGCCTGCTTTGGTTGTCCCAGATCTTTTCTAGTTAACAATAACCTTCCCTAAATAATTTTTAAAACATCAATGTCCATACTTTAACTCTTTCCTAGAAGTAGCCTGTGCTCCGGAATTTTTGTCACTATGCTTCCCATACTATACATTTATTTATTTATTGGTACCAGGGATTGAACTCTGGGCATTCGAACACTGGTCACATCCCAGCCCTATTTTGTATTTTATTTAGAGACAGATTTCACTGAGTTGCTTAGCACCTCTATTTTGCTGAGGCTGGCTTTGAACTCAGATCCTCCTGTTTCAGCCTGCCAAGCCCCTGGGGTTTCAGGCATGTGCCACTATGCCCAGCCCCATCCTATACATTTTTGAAATGTGGTGTTAATTAAAAATAATGGTTTCAATAAACATAAGTTTACAATTAATATTTCATTTGCTTCTTTTACACTTCCTTCTGCCCTTCATTTCCTTCTTCCTTTCTTCCTTCCTTCATCATGTCTTCCATCCCTCCTTTTATTTCTCCCTTCCTTTCTTCCTTTTTTACCAGCCTCCATCTCTTATTGCATTCTTCCTTTATTCTATCTTTTCTGCCTCCCTCCTTCTCTTCTTACTAGGTACTGACACATTCAAATACCTCATGAATCATTAAAGTGTATTAAATGCATAATTAAAATAATTATAGAGTTAGTGATAAGGTAGAGAGTAGTATGATTTAGTGTTTCATTAAAAGACTAATGCAAAGCTAGGTGGGACAAGAAAATTGTGAGAGATCTAAGACAGTATGTCAATGTATTTGTTCCTAGAAAATCTAGTCAGTAGGGAATTTTTAAAAAAGACAAACAGATGGAAACACTGAAGTTCATTATAATGGTCACAAAAAGTGTTCTGGTGTATAAGGAGAGATGAGAGTAAAAATTAAAGGACAAGAAGACACTAATGATCAGATCATGAACAGTCTGTATAATCTGAGATGTTAAAGTTATCTTTCCTTACAGAGGAAAGATATCTTTAAAATGTGCAAACATTATAGATTAAGAGATAATATTTGCAAATTTTTAAAGAAGTGAATAACAATAGCACTCCATAAAAGTTAAATACTGCAACTGTATGCTAATCAGAAATTGCAAGTCCTAAAAAAAGAACTCCATCTTCCCAACTCCATTACAAAGGTAGTTACTTTGATCTATTTTTTTCTAAGTGCATTTTGAAAATTTCACCTGTGTGCCTGTGTATGCATGTGCATTTCATGTCATACTGTTACCGCTGTTGACTGGTGACGAGTTCTTGCTTCCCCAATGTTGAAGAATAACACCAAAGAAGCACGCCGAGGCAAGGTCAGAGTAGAAATTAGAAGTTTATTAAAGGACAGCAGAAAAGACTTCTCCCGGAGGAAGAAGGGGACCCAAGAGGTGGAATCCGTGGAAGTGCGGTTGTTTCCCCTTTTTATAGTTTTGGTGATGGAATGTAGGTTGGAAGGCCCGAGGGGTGGGACACAGGTGGGCCAAAGAAGTAATCTGGTCAGGAAGGACTTCTCAGTCAGCACCTTTTTGCTGGGGGCTGTTCATTAACATTTCTTTGAGGTGGACTTTGGCCTAGGGCCTTTTAGGACTTCATTAACATTCCTTGAGTTGTCCTGCGTTTCCCGGAATCATTGCCAGCATGGCCTCCATTTTAGATTTCACTCGGTATTAGACCCGATTTACCTAACTACACTGACTACCTAACTTTAAATCTGGCTTCAATACCATATTTTCTATATATTTTAGTCTATCTTTTAGGAAGTAGATATCACAAGGACTAGACTAAAAGACAAATTCAAAGAAGGTTTAACCTGGCTAGATGATAGTAATTCAATTTTAAAGGAAATTATATGCATACATATGTGTGCATGAACACACGCTTATTTATGTATATGATTATCTAGTTTGTTTATGCAATACATATGTGAAGGTATGTATTATGTAAAGTTAATATATGTTGGTATAATAAAAACATAAATATGTAGTAAAACCATATAAATATGCCTATTTTCCTTCATTATTCATTATGTAATATTCTACTACATATTTTTCATTTGAGTTTTAGAGAGGGTGTATGGGTTTGATTGATTTACAATGTTACTTTTACAATCATGTTTTCCCTTCAGTCATATAAAGAAGCTCAAATTTGAAGTATTTGTATCTTTGCACATAATTGTGAGGGTGTGTTATTTTATAAATAACAGGAAACAACTGTGCAATATGTCTATCATACTCTATATTTAAGGAATACTGCAATATGCAAAATAATTGCATTAACAATTTGTTAAAACCATTACAGTACTAGAGTTTTTATTTAAAATTTGTTTCACCCAATCTCTGAAAGTTTACTTTGAAATATAGGAAATAGTTTAAAACAGATCCAAGTGTTCAGATTTGAAATTCAGTGACAAATTATTTGTTACACAATAACTGATTCATTTGGAAATTCATGAATGGGTCATGTGTTTTAAGAAAATTCTAGTAGTTCCCACAGAGGAAGTGGATCAGGAAATGGCAAGCATCCACACTTTCATTTACTGATTTTCTCAATTTGGGTGTAATTTCACATTAAACCTCCAAATTCTACATGTTAACTCAAAATAATTTTTACAAGTTTACAAGATGCCTTCATAGTTTTAATAAATTATTTCTGAATTAGTATAGGCAAATTTTGGTGTTTTTTTTTTTTAAAATCAGATTGAGAGAGAGAGAGATTTTACTTCGAGAGTAGAGGTCACATATATTTTCATTACCAAGAAGGATACTATGAAAGAGCTAGCATATTATACAATCTTTGCTTTGAACAAAATTGCTCTGGCAGAATGCATCAGTGAACACTCCAGACCAGGATCCCTGTCTATAGTCCACATTCTTGTGGGAGATTGCATACAGTAAATAGAAACTCTAATTTATTGTATTTTAGAAGTTGCACAATGATATGGAAGATAAAAAGGTAGCATACATCCCATTAAGAGAAATTGACAATGCTGAAGTAGAGGATGCAGTTTCAGCTTGGTTGCAATCCGAAACAAGTTGGTTGGGGGTAGTGAGGTTGGAGCAAACACTAGAAGAAAGTGGAGAAGTGAAGTCCAGGCTGTCAGCGGAGCATTCTAGGCAGAGGCAAGCACCAAGGCAAAGCTCCAGAGGTGCAAACTTCCATAATATGTTCCAGAAGCAGGAGACTGGCAGCTTGGCTAGGGCTGACCCAGGTAAGGAGACAGGGACTAGATGAAGTGAACAAATGAAGTTGATCATTCTGTGATTTTGGAGCCATTACAAAAAAGTTAAATAGTGGCCTCCAAAAGATGCCCATATAAATCTGTAAGTATGGACTTTTCTAGATGTAATTAAGGATTTTGAGAGATCATATTGGATTTAGTGTGGGCTCTAAATCCAGTGATCAGTGAAGAAGACACAATTCCACCATATGATAGTTTTGAGATCTCAACCAATTTAATTAACTTTTGTAAACACAGTTGTCATTATTCATACATAAATGAATTCCACAAATCTTATGATATATGGAGAAAGTAAATAAAAATAATTTGAAACATCAGAAAGTCATAATGATATTATTTTTCTTAACTCTGATTAATAGCCATGATAGGGCATTTGGCCCCTGAAAGAGAAATAAAGTGGTAGTCAATCAGTTGCCTGGCAGGAAAGGAATTAAGAATAAATGCTCTTGACACATTTTTCCTTTGCCCTCTGATCTCCCGCCTGTTATTCTACTAGCCAAATCCTCTGATAGCCAGTGATCAAGGAGCTCAGTGACAGAGTCCATGAAGATCACCTTCTAGAGACACTGAACAGAGAGATGAGAGTGGATCAGTAAGGGCAAAAGACAGCATCCAGCCCATAATAAAAGTAGTCAAAGTATGTATTCTCTCTTTTTTCATTAATTTTTTTCATTGAATTAGCAATCTTCTACAAAATCAACCACAGTTCATTAGACTATTAATGATAATCTTACTTACTACTTGAAACTTGGAAACTCCTAGCCTAAGACACTTTTGGGAAATCTAAGAGGTCAAAGCTATCTTCATAATGACAGTAAGACTATATTTATCTTTTGGTTGGGTTTGCATTTGCACTGAAAATGCAGAAGCATTGGTGTCATTACCTGCCTATGAATCACGCCAGAGGCATCAAACTCTGGCCATGATATTTTTCACCTTTATGAGTTTTCTGTGTTTGTGGCAGTGGGGGATATCTCCTAAGAATGATGCAATAAAAGTCATTAATTTCATGAAATCTTAATTACTGCCCAGAAGCTTTGGAGGCTGAGATAGTAAGATCATGAGTTCAAAGACAATCTCAGTAAAAGCAAGGCACTAAGCAACTCAGAGAGACTCTGTCTCTAAATAAAATACAAAAAGTAGGGCTGGGGATATGGCTTAGTAGTTGAGTGCCCCTGAGTTCAATCCCTGATACCTAGGAAAAAAAACTCAGTTACTGATTACAATCAATTTTAATGATGAATGGGAAGTATGCATAAAACATTCCCACTGTGTATCAAGATGAATTGATACTTCAGAAGAAAAGCCCTTGTGTGAATGAGATGCATCCTGAACCAACCAAGCCATTCCCTTCAAGGAAAACAACCGACAGCATTTTTTGACAATGATAAAATTCAAACTTTCTAGCAAAACCTCAAATTTTGAAAGCATTTATCTCCACCAGGATACTAATAGTCTCCTAGCATTTAAAGTCTTTTTAAGGGGCTGGGGATGTGGCTCAAGCGGTAGCGCGCTCGCCTGGCATGCGTGCGGCCCGGGTTCGATCCTCAGCACCACGTACAAACAAAGATGTTGTGTCAGCCGAGAACTAAAAAATAAATAAAAAAAAAAAAAAATGCAGAGTCTCATCCCAGACCAACCAAAAAAAATTGATATAAAAAAAAAAAAAAAAAAAATAAAGTCTTTTTAAAAGAGATTTTTGGTGGTGTTACCATGTGATTATTTGATATTACATAATGAAATCTGTCAACCTTTACAAGTTCTACATAACTCCAAAAACTGACGTTTTCAAAATTACCATTGACTGATATAACAAAATAATATATGTTCAAAAAAAATTCTAATTAGAAAGAGAGATTAAACAATGGATTTAAATGAAACTGATTACAACAGGCTTAATGACATGATTTATTTTAAAATACTGAAAACAATTTTTAATAAATTATCATTTGTCAATTTCTCTATAATATCAAAGAATACCAACGATTATCTGAAAGCTACGTATTTTTCCAACTACATAACAATGTGAGGCAAGACTTTCCTTCTGAAGTTCATTCAGAACAGAATATTGCAACAGATGTTTCATATATTAAGCAAATATTAAGAGGTATTTGAATTAGCAATATAAAAAATTAGCAAACCAAAAAAAAGGCACACTTCTCAATGAATAGTTTGAAATTTATGTTTGTATAATAGGTTTTCATAAAAATACAATTTTATTGGTAAAAGTTTTCATAATAATACCTGTTTTCTACAAGTATTTTACTTATATTAACATGTATTGGTTATTGTTATTTGGAGATTATTAATGAATAAAATTATTTTCAGTTTTAATTTCAAATATAGTATCAAAAACAACATTTCTCCAGAGCCCTCAATAACATTAAAGAATATGGAAGGGACCTGAGACCATGATGTCTAGACTAGCTAACAAATGTTCAGAGATTATATATAAAATTATGTTAAAACTTCTATTGCTGTTTGCCTAAGTATATTTATAATTTTATATTTGCATATTTTACACAGAATACATTTTGTACATAATTATAAGAAAAATACAATTTCAACATAAGGACATATGGCCTTTGGATAAACTGCATGAAGTCAAAGCACAATAATCATTACTTTGTTTCATAAAAGACTAGATGATTATTTGTGTGTTTTAAATAGTTTAGCACATGAAATTTGGTATTTATTCAAATAGCCCACTAGAAAGTTTATGAGATTATAATTAAGAAGTTAATTATATTTGTAAGAATTTTTTTTCAAATGGTCACACTTGACAAATAAACATTTACTGTTTATAATTTATGAGTATTTTAGGAGCCAACACTGAATAATTTTTCCCAAATATTCTGAAGAACAATTACTATTAATTTTAATTTTTTTGTGTGTATGTATATTATGGAATGGTATTTTATGTATTCATGATTTTAGAAAATAATAGTACATTTATCAAAAATCATATTTATTACACAAATATTCTGAGAATGAATATCCTTAAGTTGGTCATAGATATATCATAATTCAGCCTTTTTATTATGCTTAAACTATGGTAGCTATTACTAATTTACTGAGGAGAAAAAAATAATGTTATATCTTATATAATTTAGTAGGAGCTCAAGTGACTATGGCTTTCTTCATTCAGTTCTCTTCTACCCTTATACATGCAGAGAACCCACAGAATCAAGTGCCATGGAAAAGCAAAGACTGTGCTCCTAGAGAAGTTAGGGAGAAAAGGTTGATTTGTATTTCATGTCAGTATTTTAACATTTTTGTTTGATTTGTGTTACCATGTAAACCTTCATGTCATCAGATATTTCAAAATGCTGAAACAAGATTTTTCAGTAATTTTTTTGTTTTTAAGAATTAAAGATATCTCTAAAAATTGCTTAAAATATCACTGCATGAAAACTGTGATTATATCTTAACACTGTAATCTCCATCACAAATCTCTATTAGCCTGTCATTTGCTAGGATATATATATAAATAATTAATTTCTAAAAAATATTCTCTTTCCATGTTTAAAACATTTTATAATCCAAAAATAATTTCTGTAAATTACAGAAGACAAGAAATAATTAGGACACAAGAACTCACAAAGTTTCTTTAGCAAAGTTTTATACATGCCAAGTATTAACCCTACCCAGTGGTAGGAAGAGCCTCTATGTAAAAACAAAGATCAAGGAGTGATCCCCATAGTCTCTGGCTTTAACCATTATACATTTGATGTATTTTGTGAGTATTGGGGATTGAATCCAGGGCCTCACACATGCTGAACAACTGCAAAACCACAAAGTTAACATGCCCAGCCCACAAGATTTCACTTTTTTGATAATGGTACTGTGGATCGAACCCAGGGCTTCATACATGCTAGTAAGCACTCTGCCACTAAGTTATATCCCCAGCCATTAACCATTATACATTTGTTAAAGGGGACAGTTATTACAAGATTTCTTATAAGTTTATGAGATGTTTTCAATTTTGTGTGATTGCTGTCAGTGCCTTGATTTAAATATGTATACATATATATGTATGAAATATATATACACATATACATAAACATATATTTACATATTGTGCATATTACATCTATACTTTAAATATACTATAGATATATACTATCAATATATTGTAGGTAGATGTTTATATCCTCATCCTTGACATTTTTTCCTCTTAAAACATAATCTATTAAAACTTCCTCAAATCTCAGTTTTAGGATTCTGCTAATTAACAAAATGCTTTACCTGAATATGAACATAGGAAGTTAGTAATTTTTGAATATAAGTGACAGAATTTCTTTCTTATCGACTTTTGTTAAAGCCATCATTTTTATTGAAGTTGTTATTATTTTACTGAGAAGAAATCCTACTAATCTGGATAATAAAATTGAGAGAAAACATTTTTAATGAAAAAATTCATGTCATAAGTTATGAATTTCTAAGATTCAAGTAGCATAAACTCTAACTCCACATTTTTTTTAAAGGAGAATTGTTATTATGCATAAATTTTGGCATAATTCTAGGCCAAAAATTCTATGATTTTAAGAAAGTAAAGAAAGAGAATAGCACTAAACTTATCTTCCCATCTGTACTTCAATTTATTTATTTTTTTTCACATTTGACAAAGTGTTTATTATAAATGTTTCATTTTTATATAAGGCATACATTTTGGACAAAATCTGTTCAATGTTCACTACTGGTATGAGTTTTCAGATGTTCAATGAATTTAAATTTGAATAAGTTTTCAAAATATTATTTAACTGTTTAGGGTTTCTGGATACAATGAATTCTCCAAAAATCAGTAGTGTTTAAGAAACATGTGGTTAAGAAATGTTTTTTTTTTCCATCTGTATTCTCTCTAACCAGTATGTATCCACAGGTGCTGAGTATTGGTGAATAAATTTTGGAGGCATTGTCACATTGTCAATTTTCACATTTCAAAACTTTGTCTCTTCTATGGTTATTGTGGTGAGGATTCAATATTGACTCTTTCTTAGAGGAATGGTACAATGGTCTCATTTGTAAAGCTTCTCTCCAGTGTGTTTTCTCTGATGTCTAGTAATGTATGATATATAATTTAAAATGTTTCTACATTCTTTACATTTATGTCTTCTTTCCAGAATAAATATCTTAGTGGTGAAAAAGAATTGATTTCTTATTAAAAGCTTTGCTACATTGTTTTCATTTTAGGGGTTCTTTTCTGTATAAATTCTGTTGTTAATGAGGTTTAGTTTTTCTTTAAAAGTATTATCACTTTATCTACCATTTCACATTCACCAGGGTGTCTTCTGCTGTGGTGAATAAAGTTTTATTTCTTATTAAAAGTTTTTCCCCTTATTCACATTTGTAGGGCTATTCTCCAGTGGGAGTTCTTCTGTGGTGAATAAGGCCTGTTTAATGGCTAAAAGCTTTGCCACATTCCTTACATTTGTAGGGCTTTTCTCCAATGTGAATTCTGTTGTGGTAATAAGGGTTGATATTTGAGTAAAAACTTCGTCACATACTTTGCATCTGTGAGGCTTCTCTCCAGTGTGAGTTCTCCTGTGGCAAACAAGGTGTGATTTTTCAACTGAAAGCTTTGCCATATTCTTTACAATTGTAGGGCTTCTCTGCAGTGTGAATTCTGCTGTGGAAAATAACATCTATTTTTTGACTGAAAGCTTTGCCACCATCTTTACATTTGTAGGGCTTCTCTCCAGTGTGAGTTCTTCTTTGGCAAATAAGGTATGAGTTTTGACTGTATGTTTTGTCACATTCTTTACATTTCTAGGACTTCTCGCCAGTGTGCAGTCTGCTGTGCCTAATAAGGTATAGTTTTCGACTAAAAGCTTTGCCACATTCTTTACATTTGTAGGGCTTCTCTCCAGTGTGAGTTCTGCTATGGCGAATAAGGTGTGATTTTTGATAGAAATCTTTGCCACATTCTTTACAATTGTAGGGCTTCTCTCCAGTGTGCATTCTGCTGTGGCACATAAGGCATGATTTTTGACTAAAAGCTTTGCCACATTCTTTACATTTGTAGGGCTTCTCTCCAGTGTGCATTCTGCTGTGCCTAAAAAGGTCTAGTTTTTGACTAAAAGCTTTGCCACATTCATTACATTTGTAGGGCTTCTCTCCAGTGTGTGTTGTGCTGTGGTGATTAAGGTTTGATTTTTGACTAAAAGCTTTGCCACATTCTTTACATTTGTAGGGCTTCTCTCCAGTGTGAGTTATGCTGTGGCGAGTAAGGTTTGATTTTCGACTGAAAGCTTTGCCACATTCTTTACATTTGTAGGGCTTCTCTCCAGTATGAGTTATGCTGTGGCGAGTAAGGCCTTCTTTTTGACTGAAAGCTTTTCCACATTCTTTACATTTGTAGGGCTTCTCTCCAGTGTGAGTTCTGCTGTGGTAAGTAAGGCCTTCTTTTTGACTGAAAGCTTTTCCACATTCTTCACATTTGTAGGGCTTCTCTCCCGTGTGAGTTCTGCTGTGGTAAGTAAGGCCTTCTTTTTGTCTGAAAGCTTTTCCACATTCTTTACATTTGTAGGGCTTCTCTCCCGTGTGAGTTCTGCTGTGGTAAGTAAGGCCCTCTTTTTGTCTGAAAGCTTTTCCACATTCTTTACATTTGTAGGGCTTCTCTCCCGTGTGAGTTCTGCTGTGGTAAGTAAGGCCTTCTTTTCGACTGTAAGCTTTTCCACATTCTTTACATTTGTAGGGCTTCTCTCCCGTGTGAGTTCTGCTGTGGTAAGTAAGGCCTTCTTTTCGACTGAAAGCTTTTCCACATTCTTTACATTTGTAGGGCTTCTCTCCCGTGTGAGTTCTGCTGTGGTAAGTAAGGCCTTCTTTTCGACTGAAAGCTTTTCCACATTCTTTACATTTGTAGGGCTTCTCTCCCGTGTGAGTTCTGCTGTGGTAAGTAAGGCCTTCTTTTCGACTGAAAGCTTTTCCACATTCTTCACATTTGTAGGGCTTCTCTCCAGTATAAATTCTCTGGTGGTAAACAAGGTCTGAATTTTTATATGACTTCTGTTGTTCACTCTCACTTGTAGTTTTCCATATTTTCTTTTGTTGTAAATAGTCAATATTACAACTTGTATATTTTCCACTTATCACTTTGTGAAATATATGTTTTATGCCCTTTTCTGGTGAATATTCTTCGGTATCTTGAGGAGTCAGGGCAAGGAAGGCAAAGTTTCTATAGTTCTCTAACATCACATCTTTATATAAGTTTTTCTGAGCGGGCTGAAGGCATTCCCACTCCTCTTGAGTAAAATCAATGGCTATATCCCTGAATGTTAACAGTACCATTTCCTGGCTTTCAGAGTTCTCAGCATTCTCCCTGTGGTTTGTTTTCAGATTCTGCATTGCACAGAAACCTGGGCTCCAGATCCAGGACAGAAAGCCTACAAAAAGTTTGAAAAAATGGTGGGCTTCAGACACAAAAGGAACAGCCAATTTATCTTTAATTCTAATAGTTATTCAGAGAAAACTCTTCTAAATAAAATAATGACTTAAATTACTTCTTCATATCGAATTAAATTTAAACCACTTGATTTCAAGCCTTAAAATCTAAGTCATAATTATGACAAAGTCAGTTCTCCTGAAGTTATATTAATAATATTAACACATTGTAAAAGAATGGTATTAAATTTTCTTTATAAATCAAAGTAGACAGTAAATACTACCCTTAATGTGGAGAAACAGACATGCAAAAATAATCAGGAAATTTCTTTTTTTTATCTAGCAGTGATAAGCAATAACCCCATCAAACATTAAATTTTGTAAGCTCTCTAAAATTAAAACAATATAATGCTGCCCACAAATAGACCAAAAAATATGGAATGAAAGAAATTACAGAAATAGACTTGACTCAAATGTGGCATTACTATGGAATAAAATTGCTATCAATTCATTGGGAAAAATATGGACTTTTTAATTAGTGCGACTGGAACAAATTGTTAAGACATCTGGAAAAAGATAAATTGAGATTATTATTCCATATTAAACAAAATAATAAACCCAAATGGATAAAGAATGTAAAAAACAATAACAAATAAGCAAAAACAGAAATCATATTAAAGTAAAGCATGGGTACATATATTACTCTGAGCATAGGAATAACACTCCATTTCTCAAAATACAGATATAATAAAAGAATATTAATAGTTTGACAACATTAAAAGATTTCTTATGGGTAAAAAATTCATTCTGATCCAAAAGCAAAGTCACAAGACAACTGTCAAACTGGGGGAAATATTTACAACATTCATCACAGGTAAAAGACTAATAACCATATTATATACGGGTATTTTTAAATCTAAGAATTTAAAAGACCAAACTTCCAATAGAAAACGGGGCAACAGAGAACATAAAAAAAAAACTACAATGAAAACAAAATTTAAAAAGACATAAACATATTAAATAATGTTTACTCTCATAAGTAAATTTAATTAAAGCAATGGATCTGACATTATTCACAGTATTCATATACATATTCATGACATACCATTTTTATTTTTTTTTCATGTTTATGCACTGCTAGGTATCCATCTCAGGTTATCTAGCATCTATGCTAGGAAAGTGCACTACACTGAGCCACATCCCTGCCCCATTTCTAATTTTTGAATTAGCAACATTTTGAAATTATAAATAGACGCATGAGGAGGCAATGAGGAAACAAGTATCCCCACACACTGATAAATAGCTATTATTAATTGAGTATTTATTATGTGGTAGTGCTTTACATACTCAATTTCATTTAGAATTTACCATAACTAGTAGGGTTTCTTATCATCTTCTGGTTTAGATATTTAGAAACCAAAGCTTAGAATATTTAAATTACTATCCCAAGGTCACACAGGTGGTATTTGAGTGAGAATAACCTGAATGACTCTGTAGTCCAAATTCTATAAATCATAAACTTGTTTAAAAAATGTCCAGGGCTCACACTGAGAAAAGAGAAGGATCTCCTGAAGAGGGGGAACTTAAGAATAAAAAGAATTATTTGTTCTCTCTTGATAAGGGAGGTTTCTTCTACCTAGTCACACTTAAGTTTCCCACCCATCCTTCTTTCCTATGTAAAAAAGCTTGGCCAAAACGAGATAAAAAAAATTAACACATTTATATGGCAACAGTTATTTATCCAAAAGAATTAACAGAAGAAGAACCAATTAAAACTGTGTCTCGCTTGAAAGTGGTACATATGTGCAAGCCCAGCGGCTGGGGAGGCTGAGGCAGGAGGCACACAGATTTCGAATTTAGCAATTTAGTGAGACCCTGAACAACTCATCGAAACCCTGTCTCTAAATAAAATATGAAAAAGGGCTGGGAATGTGGCTCAGTGGTTAAGCACTTCTAGGTTTAATCTTCACACCCCCTCACCCCCCCCCCCAAAAAAAAAGGTGAAAAGAAACACTTGGGAGTGCCTCCTAATCAAAAGGAAGCACAAAATCTTTGTTGTTTGGGATTACTAAGCCTGGGGCTGATGTTTGCCATCTTCCCCAGTGTAGAGAAGTGAAATGTTCCTTTTAATTGGGAAGAAAAAGGCCAACACAGAACTGAGAAATAGAAATAATCAATCTGATTGCTCAAGTCTTTTATGTTCCTCATTCCAACATTGTCAAAGCACTTCTTCCCTAATCTATTTTTTTGAAGTTATTTCAGGAAGAAATATTGCAACTAATTTAATTTGTTTTTACATAGAACCACAAAGGCATGTTAGTAAAACTTTTTGATTAAGAGAAAGACTAATCATAAATCACTTTAAAAAGTGATTAGCATGGCATTGAAGTATACACTGAACGGAAGGGAGAGGGATTGGAGGCAGCACCCTAGAGAACTGATCTAGTGCAAAGCTAGATCTGGTGAGTGATGTCAATACCTAAAATGGATTGATGGAAGAGCTGTCAGGATAAGTAAGTAAAAACGCTACCAAAGAGGTAACCACAAGGAGATGAGTTTGAGTTCAGCTCAGGATGGGAGCTTTTACTCTGAACCAGTAACTGCTAAAGGTAGGCATAGCTGGTTTCAATAGAAGAGATGGTTGAGAGTGTAAATAGAAAATGAAGAACATATCGTAGACCCTAACCTTGTAATACTTGTCAGGAACAGAAAAAGCAACTGAATAAAAAAGACTAAGGAATATAAAAGAAGTAAAGGAAAAATAATAGGAAAAAATGGAGTTTTTCATGTCAGTTTCATTTTGTTTTTGGATGAAGTATGACTTCAGGTTCATGTACCTGATTGGATTTTATTTGGATTCTACCACATTTTCTGAGACCAAACAGCCAAGTTATGGATGTAGCTTTCACATTTGTACTCCTGTTGTACCCTGAAAATTTCAGCTCAGGACACTATTTTCCATCTTAAACATATCTAGCACATTGTGCCAGGCTTTTTGTGATTTATTAGTTGTTCAAAACATTACATAGCTCTTGACATATCATGTTTCATACTTTTGATTCAAGTGGGTTATGAACTCCCATTTTTACCCCGTATATAGATTGCACAATCACATTGGTTACACATCCACGTTTTTACATAGTGTCATACTAGTGTCTGTTGTATTCTGCTGCCTTTCCTATCCTCTACTATCCCCCCTCCCCTCCCCTCCCCTCCCATCTTCTCTCTCTACCCCATCTACTGTAGTTCATTACTCTCCCTTGTTTTTTTCCCCTTTCCCCTCTTCCTCTTATATGTAATTTTGTATAATGATGGGGGGTCTCCTTCCATTTCCATGCAATTTCCCTTCTCTCTCCCTTTCCCTCCCACCTCTCGTCCCTGTTTAATGTTAATCTTCTTCTCATGCTCTTCCTCCCTGCTCTGTTCTTAGTTGCTCTCCTTATATCAAAGAAGACATTTGGCATTTGTTTTTTTAGGGCTTGGCTAGCTTCACTTAGCATAATCTGCTCTAGTGCCATCCATTTCCCTGCAAATGCCATGATTTTGTCATTTTTTAGTGCTGAGTAATACTCCATTGTGTATAAATGCCACATTTTTTTTTATCCATTCATCTATTGAAGGGCATCTAGGTTGGTTCCACAGTCTAGCTATTGTGAATTATGCTGCTATGAACATCGATGTAGCAGTATCCCTACAGTACGCTCTTTTAAGGTCTTTAGGGAATAGTCCGAGAAGGGGAATAGCTGGGTCAAATGGTTGTTCCATTCCCAGCTTTCCAAGGAATCTCCATACTGCTTTCCAAATTGGCAGCGCCAATTTACAGTCCCACCAGCAATGTACAAGTGTACCCTTTTCCCCACATCCTCGCCAGCACTTGTTGTTTGACTTCATAATGGCTGCCAATCTTACTGGAGTGAGATGGTATCTTAGAGTGGTTTTAATTTGCATTTCTCTGACTGCTAGAGATGGTGAGCATTTTTTCATGTACTTGTTGATTGTTTGTATGTCCTCCTCTGAGAAGTGTCTGTTCAGTTCCTTGGCCCATTTGTTGATTGGGTTATTTGTTTTCTTATTGTTTAATTTTTTGAGTTCTTTGTATACTCTGGATATTAGGACTCTATCTGAAGTGTGAGGAGTAAAAATTTGTTCCCAGGATGTAGGCTCCCTATTTACCTCTCTTATTGTTTCTCTTGCTAAGAAAAAACTTCTTAGTTTGAGTAAGTACCATTTGTTGATTCTTGTTTTTAACTCTTATGCTATGGGTGTCCTATTAAGGAATTTGCGTCTATTAGACTCAGAGTCTCTGTTTTGATATCAAGCTCCTTGATCCATTTTGAGTTAACTTTTGTGCATGGCGAGAGAAAGGGATTCAGATTCATTTTGTTGCATATGGATTTCCAGTTTTCCCAGCACCATTTGTTGAAGATGCTATCCTTCCTCCATTGCATGCTTTTAGCCCCTTTGTCAAATATAAGATAGTTGATTTATGTTCTTAATATGACACATTAAATTAGTAGGTATTATTGTATTATGTTTTACTTTATCATGAATGATTTATCACCTGAAGCTAGATATGTTTCAGGAAAAAAAAATGTACTTAAAATATGTTGAGAAAAAAATAATAAAATTAATATGAGTGCTGTTTATAATGTAATTCATTATAAACAGTAAAAAAAAAAAAATCAGGCAATTGAGCATTGCTCTGTAAAAATTTCACAGACAAGTTGGCCTGTTGCTGATTAAGGAATTATGTTTAAAAGTCTTCTTCTTCATTCAATGTCTGCATGATTTCAATGCAAACAAAGAAGATATATCTGTTTTTGTTTTTAAGTAGGAATGCCTCTAAATATGGATTACTTAATAAGAGCTGAAAAAAACAATCACACAACAGATGGAAGAATTTTCTGGATCACTCTCTACTGCTTAGGATTCAAGGAAAAGTAGTCAGAGCCAGACTACAGCAGAAATTACTCAAAATTGCAAATGCAAAGTAGTCAGAGCC